AAACAAATCAAAATAAAACTGAAATAATAAGTAACAAATAACAACTGAAACAACTAAATAACCAATAGCTAACCCTAGGAAGACTAGAACACCTTCTACCCTACAAGTACAGTGGGACCGTAGCTGTGGGGCCCACATCAGTGTTCTCTACACRTATAAGCCAATCTTCCACTGTAAGTCTTCCTTCACTATTGTGTTACATGAATCACTAGAATGACACCCATTGGCTGTTACCCCCCCCCCCCCTTCTCCAATTCATGACTGCTAAAACATAACTAAATAGAAACATGGTAATTGCATCCACAGGTATGCTCTAGGTTTACTGATTACTCGTTTCTGGATGCACAGGGAATGTCAGTGATGATATTTAGTACAGATGAAACTACAAACAAGGCTGTGGCGTGTGCTGGGGTAGTGGAAAATGTAGATAAGAGCAAGGATTTGGATGTATTGGAGTGGTTTACAGCTGCAATGGAGCCTCTGAAAGGGAGGGGTGGTAAAGGAAATGTTGGCAAACGTTTCTATGCTCAGGGCCAGGTTAGGTCTCTGGAATGGCTTAGGTTCCAATTCCTTGGGAAATGTCATTTTAGCTTGCTATAAAAGAAATTTCATCTTTACTTTGGTCCTCAATTGTTGTTCTGTACTAACTACTTGAATGACTCGTTTTCAGGGGACAGATGCATCACACCTCCAGGAGGCCATGGATATTGCAACAGCCTTTGCATCAATGAGATTGAGATAACAACCACTTACCATTCAACTCTTCCCAGCTGCAGTTCACTTCATATCAATTTTTTATGCTGAACCAACATTTCTATGGATTTAGATATTTGAAGCAATAGGAAAAAACAAAAGAATGTAGGATGATTAAATTATTGCGTTACAACAATTAATTTTTACTATAGTAGATACTGAAACTCTGAAGTACAAAATATAGTAGCTATCTTATTAAAGATATTATTTTCCTCCAATCCTATACTTGTTCAACCCCTTGTTCAGCTGTTATCAAAAGGCACCTTAATCTACCAAATTGAATCTGATAATAGAATCAATCATTTATCACGAGATTAAGTTAAATTTTCAGCACTGGTTAGGTGAAGAATGCTAAGAGATAAGCATTGACAGAGAAATGATACAAAAGTAACAAACTTGATGGGATAAATTTTGTTGGTTTATACCCCTTAAATTGATTTATCCGGAAGATGAATTAAATGCTGAACAAGGATGCATTTCAGCTTTTGCCTATATGCTTCTTTCTTTTAGCAGCCCTGGATTCCCATCCAAGATGGCTGCTAAAATTGTTATTAAAGATGGATTTCTGATGGCAGCTAAAAGATAATGCAGGCATAAAAGTAGCAGATCGCCAGTAAGTTACCGGGAGGCCATCCAGAAGTTCTAACATATCATTTCATGTAGAACGCATTCTTCTTGTTAACATGGCTTATGAGAAATCTCAATTGAGTTACAATTCCCACACAACTGGCACCTTTTATCTCAAGCATCACTTCTTTCATCAAATACAAAACTGAATACAATTATACAATACACTGAGAGGTAAACAAAAGTTCTCATTGGAGTTTTGCATCTCCTGTCTAGTACTTCTTTCTGTTTTTCACACCCAGAATGTACACATAAGACCAAAGATCAGATAGAAGAAAACAGATGCGTCAACAATTGATCCCGCATTGTTTAGTGTCAGGGCCCTTGGATTTAAGCACAAATGGGTCAATTCGGACCCAGAGCAAGGAGAATATGGAAGCTAGAAGCACTGACCAGATGACAACTATAGTTGGGGTCCGGTTCTGCCGCCCCATGAGACCCTTCAAGAATGGGTACAGATGGACAATCACCCAAAAGGCGAAGAAAAGCTTTCCGAACAATGGACCCCATGACTGGTAGCCATTGTTTATGGCGTCTGATATGCCAGCAACCACCCCAACCAGGTTGATGATTAGGAGGGTGGTAGGAGGGATCAGCAGAGTAGTCCACTTGAAGGCATAGAGCTCGCCGAACTCTTCATCATCTGAAGCCTTGGAAGTGACAGTGAAGTTGGTGTCAATGCCAGCCAAGATCTTGAGAAGGCCTTGCACAACAGCAAAGAGGTGGGCTGAGACACCACCGATGACCCAGAACTGCTCATTCCTCCACCATTCCTCGATGCTCACTCCACTCCACCTCATCTCCAGAATGCCGGTTGCAAAGATTGAGATGAAAAGCGCAATGAAGAAGAGACTGGCGAATGTGCTTATCTGGATCATGAATCACAACAAACAGATATCATGAGCAAGACTTCTCTGGTCTATGTATTTTGTTATAAACTAAAAGATTGCACCGGCATTACCGTGGGCATGATGAATTTTCCGGTGAGCAAGCAGACGGCAGGGAGGGTGCAGTAAGCAAGAAGAGGCAAGGAGGTGAATGGGTAGACAGTGGTGTTGACGTATGCGAAGCGCTCAAGCCAGTGCAAGTGTCCACCCTTGTAGCCATACCAGAGGGGACTGTGGCGACTGAAGAAGATTTCGACTGAACCAAGAGCCCATCGGAGAACTTGGTTGAGACGGTCTGACAGATTGATGGGCGCAGATCCTTTGAATGCAGGCCTCTTGGGCATGCAGTAAATAGACCTCCAACCCCGGCAATGCATCTTGAAGCCTGTCAGAATGTCCTCCGTGATAGACCCATAAATCCAACCCAGCTGCAGATCAAAGAACAAGCCATCAGAGATGCAGCAAACAAAACAAACAAACCTTGTAGGAAAGGTGTAAGGTGTTACAGCAATTAATTACCTCAGTACCCCATTCAGTTTTGTCTTCGTAGCCACAGCTAATTACATGAATGGCTTCCTTGAGCAGAGCTGCTGGGCTGGAAGAGGGAGGGACACCTCCTTGCTCCATTAGTGTAGAAGTCACAAAAGTCGCTGATTGTCCAAATTTTTTCTCGAAATTCATTTGGGACATCAACAGCTCCTTGTCATCATCCGTTCCTGATCACAAGAAATCAAGAAATCAAGAGCCCATTTAGTTTGAATGGAGCAAATTAAGTAAGACAGGGGTCTCAATGTCTCATCTAGGCCATGCAGATTACCTTGTTCAGCTTCATACTTGTGCAGCTTCTTCCGACGGCCAAAGCAAGGGCAGCAGTCACAACTAACCATCTTGGGACGCTTTGGACCTTTGGGGGGTTCGTAACCATAGAGAGCTTGTCGTCTAAAGACGCACCCAGTACCCACATATACTGGACCCTGAAGTCCATCTAGGCCTTTCATGTTAATCTGCAGAAACCCAGAAACAGATTCTTATCAAATTTAAATCAACCACCGCAAGAGTAAGAATTTAATCCAATGATGGGTCCAGAGTTGGGATTACATCAAAGAAGACTGTGTTTCGGTTGGCATATCGATCATGCTTGTCAATGCCATCGAACCTCTGAGGAAACTGAACATAGCAAACCTTCCTTCCGATCTGGGGGTCCATCAAGAAACACATTGCTTCTCGGACAGCCTTGCTGTTGTTTATATAGTGATCACAGTCCAAATTCAGCATGAAAGGAGCATTAGTGAGCACTGCAGAAACCCGAATCTGCAAAAAGATCCACAAATAAATGAAGGGTCTTTGTCAGATGTAATTAATGGTGCAAATAGAGGAGTCCAAAGAGGGAAATCACCAATTCACCATTAGACTGTTCTCATCTCAGAATCCAACAGACATAGCTGAGATGGCTGGTTTAGATCCTTACCAGAGCATTCATGGCACCTGCTTTCTTGTGATGTTGAAAGCCTGGTCTCTTCTCACGAGACACATAAACAAGGCGAGGAAGCTCATTTCCTTCAGTATCAAGACCTCCACTGTGACCAAGAAARACTTGAATCATACCAGGATGATCTTTAGTGTTGTTTCCTGGCCATGGTGTGCCATCCTGCATTATCCACCCTGTTGGAGGAACCTTCATAGCCTTAGCAACCAGTGCATTTATTCTGACCTTGAATTCTTCATATTCTCTCTATAAAAAAACAAACAATGGTGCAATTTCAGCACAAACACTTCTAAACATTTTACAATTGAGATTCTCTGTGTGATGTTAGTTGTCAACCTTCATAGCTCGACGCTCCTTGACGAATGTAGGCTGGATTTTGTCCTTGAGATAGTCCATCTTGAGAGAGAAGTACATCTCTGGAGCTCTAGGCTCAATGGAGAATTTCTTGCAGAAGGGAACCCATTTCCGAGCAAACTCGGCAGTTTCAGAGAGAGATTCAAATGTAAGCATGGAGGCTCCATCATCAGAGACATAGCAAGAGATCTTATCGACTGGATAGTYCATGGCTAAGATCGAAAGCACAGTGTTTCCTGTAACTAGAGGTGGTTCCTTCAATGGGTCCACTGTACTCACAAATATATCCACCGCAGATAGCATCGATGGCTCACCTTCTCTCTCATACCTGCAAACGAAACACAACCCAGGCATAGATTTGATCTTTAATTAGTTATATCAGTTACTAAGGCCTGGTTTGTTTGAAGTGCAATTTTATTTGCACTGGTGCAAAAATATAGAGGCTACATTTGGTTGCGGTTCTAATCTTGACCGGGTGCAAAATTTGTACCCAGTTAGTTTTACTTTTGTTTGCATGTAATTATTATTTGAATTCCTACCTGACACAAAATTTGTAATTATTATCTCTTTTGCACTTACTGAAAATATAAATTTTGCATCCCAAAAATTGATACAAAATTTGCACCACCTTCCTCTCTTACCTCAATTCTTTTTTACATGCCCTCCCATCTCCACACTCTTTCATGCAAGGCAACAGCTTATGCCCGCTGGAGTCGCCTTAGGCTAAAACCATATATCACGTTCCCTGATTTCACAGTTTTAGCCCAGCGCTATTCCAATGGGCATAGCTGATTTGCACAACCAAATACTACAAAATCAAATCTAGAGCAAAATTAAACTAGAATTTATGCTCAGCCTTTTGGCTCCCATGCATTTGCAGCCGTGCAAATGTCAAATGGAATCTGTACTGCAACCAAAAGCAACTAGAAGTGCAAATTCCAATTTATTTTTGTTTCAGCTTTTGCCTTATTTTTATTTGCGAGACATCTGAAGCAAACAAGTTAATCAGAATTTGCATTCTTCCAATTGAATTCTCATTAGCACTCTAATGCATTTGTACTATTACAAATGAAATTGCGTTACAAATAGACAGATTAAAAATTAGCACTCTAATACTAAGATCCGGTCCCAACTCAAGAGTCCAGGTACAGAACAAGGTCAATATCTTCTAAGTTAAACTGTAACTGAATTTCAGGGTCCCGGTTAAGGGCTGAACGATTAACCCCGGTTAAACCAATAAACCGTGACCCAGCAGCTTATCTACTACAGTGTAAGACAGAAGTACCTGAGAGAGAGACGATCGAGGTAGGTTTCACGGTCGATGGGGAACCATTTAGGGAATTGATCGAGGATCCATGAGATGGCAAACCAGATCTCGCAGATGACAGAGGTAAGCCATAGCCCAATGGCATCATGCACCGGGTTTAGTATTCGATAGCGAAGAAAGAAAGCGAGCACCACCAGACGAATCACGATGATCATTCGATATGGGTTGACCAGGCTAGAAGCAATCGGTACTTTTCTTGATAGGGGTTGTCTCGCTTCATCCGTCCTGCATTGTGTTGCACCATAACATTATTTATTACTAATGAACAGGGGTAGGATTGTAATTYTTGGAAGAAGACAGATGTTACTTTGGTAAATTCCTCTCTCCAAGTTATGCGCCAGGCCAGGCTTTGCACCTACTAGTCTCTGACGGGCCTATGCCCAGCCTAACCCAGGTTCTGGGCCTAAATAGTAAGCCCCAGCTATAGGTGCAAAATAGGTGGCTGGGCCGGCATGGCCCAGAACGATGCGGGCCATGTTTGTCAGGACCTGCACATATGATACTCCCTAGCTGGGATGCTCAGCCTGGCCCACGTGCTTAGTACTGCACAACCCGGCCCATGCTGGGCCTCCTTCCTCGATCCATCGGGATGTGCTAGCACGGCCTACAAAACCGTGCCATGACAGTCCAGCATGGCCCGCATTACACCTATAGCCCAAGCCTGTTACTTTTATCTATAGATGCAATAAATAGTAATAATGTTTTATATTATATGTGGTAATACAAATTTTATTTTAAACATTATATAGTATAAATGTAACATATAGGTATCATAACATATATATACACATGTACAAATTATAAATAATTTGCATAAATATAAATATTTATGGATTGGACCAGGTCTAACAATACAAAACCTAGGCCCAGGCCCAGAATTTCTGAGCTGGGCTGAAATGGATCACCCAGATATCATCGAATGGCAGAGTTGATTTATCCTTCGTTAAAACTAAGTTGTCAATGGGTCGGATCTACTCAAGAGAACCAAAATGACTGATAGTTCTGGTTCTGTGGTCTTGCCCCGATTAATAATTGAGTTGAGACCGGTTCTTGCCATTCCAAACTGATAGACACCCAAACCATTATAAATTTAATAATATAAAGGTCTCCTGATTTCTGTACTTTTTATTATATTTTATGTTTAAAATATAAAATAGTTCATTGAAAACATTTGTTTTATCAACATCCAAACAGTATTATATTTTATGTTTAAAATATAAGTAAATTTCATTAAAAGCATTTGTTTTATCAACGTACAAACAGTTTACTATCTTGCTATTATAAAAAATAAAAGTTTAAGATGTTATTATTATAGATGTCAAGTAGTCGTGTCAGATACCCGATTATAACGATTAATCATTGTTTCTGGATCTATTTTATACACCCTGTCCAGGAATTAGACCCGACCCATTGGCAGCTCTATTTAAACAATAGTGATATAAAATTTACACATACATTGGCATATCCGGGTCAACTGCATCGTCCGGGTCAGGACCGATATTTCCTTGCTGCCTCAATTTCCAGTCATCCATGCGCTCTTTCCAGCTTCCCTCTTTCTTGTCATCCCACTTCATATTTCCTGTATTTATAATATCTAAAAGATTACTGATTTGGAACTATTTTATGCATCAAAAAACAAAACTGAACACTGCTAAACCGGCATTCCTTTGATACTTCAATACGGGTTAAGAAATATGGGTATGATCTCAAGGGGCAACCCATTACATGCACACATGGATCGGATCATAAAAGAAGATTATGATGGGTTCCATACCTTGTCTAGATTTTGCTTGGAACCCTAATAAGGTTGCAATGCAATTCGAGTCAACTCTAGTCCAAATTAACCTATGCATAAAAAACACATAGTCACAAAGCGTAATGCATCGGGTTCTGGTTTGGGTTTAATTGGGTTGCCCAGTCATCAGCCTTTACCCAATCAAACATCGGGTTCAGGGTTGTGTTCGTGTAAGGATACGGATTATTGTTGCAGGGATCCAAATGTCTTCTCAGGTTGATCCGGTCCATTTGATGCCCTACTTCACTATATCGACACTACAGGAAGAGTGTGTCTTACCAGGGTCGTCTGAAGGGTAAGGATGTATGCGTTTATGGAGTGAAGATGACAGCATTTGATCTCCATAGCCATGACCTGAAATCGGGAACTCACCACTCACCTGCTTCCATAAAAACTCTTTAATGAGGAAACGTATATATTAGACTTTTCAGCTCTCCCACTAATAATAATGTCAAATTACTAGATCTCTTACCGGCCGAGATTTTGCACCGGCAATAACCGGAGGATACTGGACGTTGTCGTCGTCATCGGGTCCCCTTCCATAGCTCATCTTTCCGTGGAGCATCGCCTCTGCGAGATGTTTCTGCTTGTTTTGCTCGTCCTCCATGTTGAATTCGTGCTCCAGATCATCCACGTCTTCTTCATCTTCATCTCCCTCAACCCTTGGGCTCCCTTCATTTGATTTTTCAGAGAAACAGAAATCAAACAAAGAAGATTATAGCAGAGTTCAAGCTAGTGAAACTGATCTGTACATCATTCAATACCTTTGAGACGCTTGTACCGAGTCTTGCACTGGGGACACTGTTGGTTCCCTTCTCGCCTCTCATACTCGTAGCAAGGCCGGCACACCGGAAATCCACACTCGTTACAGGCGACGAACAAGTCTCCCTCGGCTGTGATTCCAACCTCATCTCCACATATCTCACACACCTGACCATCCAAGGCCTTCAATGGCTTTGGCTGCACTCAAATAGAACCGAAATTTTAGCGTCGAACACATTATCTGGTAGACATGTTTGGTATTCGTTTCCTGTTTTCATCACAAATTTACCTCTTCGTGGCCATGAATGACAACGAGTTCATTCCTGTTATGAGATCCGGCGACCAGCCCAGCACTTGCCTCCATCGTCGTTCTCCGATCGAAGCGAGGGGAGCCGGAGAATGGAGGCAAGCTTCTTGGGTTGTTCTTTTTATGAGCAAATCTGTAAAGGTGAGCTCTCTATCTCACCAAATGCGTCTCGTCCGTTGCTGGGAGTGTTGGTTGCAGAGTCTCCATTGCCGTGAAGTTAAGCTACTGGCTACTTGTATTATTCAACCAAAGCCTGGGCTTTTTCCAACGACCACGTTGCTGATGTATTGCAACATTTTGACGAAATTGCCCCCAAGATTTTTCTGAATTGCCCTTTCAGTCCTTTGGTCTAGATGATATCTTACCTACCACAGTCCCTTGAAACCCATTTTTCACATGTTTGTTTGGATGCAATGAAAAATGAGAAAAGAAAAGAAATTAAATGAAGAAAATAAAAAGAGTTTCTTTGAGGAGAGTTGGTTCTTCTTGCTTCCTCACCCTCCATAACTCTCCATTTCTTGTGTTGGAAAAGATTAGAACCATGGTTTTCAAAACCGAATGGCCGGACCGAAAAACTAGGAACCGGTCAGGTGATTGATTTTGTTTTACCTCAAAACCATTATTTTCCCAAAAACCGTTGATTTGGCTAGCAAATCATTGACTCGGGTGATTGAACCATTTGAAATATTTAACGGTTTGGTCGTTTTTTATTTTTTGTCAAAACAGGCCATCCATTCGGTTCGAACGATCAAACCATTTGGCCCAAGAACCGGACCCCTAACTGGTTCAGTTTTAAAAACCTTGATTAAACTCTATAGAACTGCTAATGAGCCTGAATCTTTTGTAAGCAAAAACCCTTCGAAACGGCACCTGATCGTACATCAGGAATATCTCAATTCATAGGGGAAATGTTCCTAAACCCTAACGTGTGTATGAATAAGCGAATATCTATGGCTCTATGCTTAGAAAGTGTATGCAGAGTTTTTGCTTGTGGGTCGGATGATGTATTTATGTAATCAGATTGGATTCAGTTGTTATATTCAATATTGATCGGATTGGATTTGGAATTCGCCCCCATCTAATCTGATTAAACCCGAATCTGATTATATTATATTATTTATTAACTTTAATATATAAATTTTATATAATTATATTCAAAATTATAAAAAATATTCTATGTATTATACTATATATGAATTTATACATATAATAAATTTAGTATGTTATATTTATATTAATTTATTATATATAAAAGTTGAAAATTAAATAAATTTTTAATTTTTTTAATACTTTGGAAAATTTATAGAGGAGTCGGATTAAATCCTAATCCAACCTGAATCTGTTAGAATTTTAATTCGAATGTGTCTTTAAATCCGATTAAATTTTGGATCATATTCGGATAGATTTTCAACAATTGGATCAAATATGAATTTTGCTGCATTCCATCTGAATCCCACCCGATTACAGCCCATAGACCTATTAATAGACTGGGCTTAGACTATGAGTATTTTTGGTCTTGGATTTCAGGCTGAATTCATTAATATTTGGACAAAATCTAAGCCTAAAATTGACCCATAAACAGGTTTACCTGCAGCCTGCAGGACTGCAGTATATTCCATCCTCTTTCATAATAACTGAAGTGACTGAATAAAAAAACTTATTGCTTTGTCTTTTAGTGAACAATAAAGATATTTCAAGGCATAATAATCAACTCAAATTCACAGCTTCAGTCATTTAAAGAGTTCACAACTTTCTTAATAATTTGTTCATTAAGGCTATATTTGGTTTGAAGGAAAAGGTAGGGAAAGACATGAAAATCTATATAAGATTTGTAAAGATTTTCTTACCTTTCCTTTCCTTTTCTGCATTTTCCTTCAAATCAAACATAACCTAAAAGATAAAACAATAAATCATTCAGTTTACTCAGCTGACAAGTATGAAAACACAAATTTGAAACACCCATCTAATGCATAGAATGCCATAAATTAGGTTTGCATGTAGAGCCCAAGACTGGAGGTTGATATCTTGAACCAACAGTTGGTAATGACCTTTTATTGCCTTAACTTTTTCTTATTCAAATACAGATTTTTTTTTCCTTTCTTCAATTTTTCCTGCAACCAAACCCTAAGTAAGAAGTAACCCAATCAGTTTATCTCAGCCATTTGATTGAAACATATGCCCCTGATTCTCATCCAAAAATTCCCCCAACTCGGCTCAATTGATGGTGTGTATTACTCAAATCAGAATTTGGAATAGTGGTATCCACATCAAGTATAGTGTCAACATCCACAGATGAGAGTTCAGACTTCAGAAGAGGTCAGCTGTGAGATCAGCTGCAGTTTACAGCAAGACTGATCACTGTTTGTATTAATTATTTGAAGGCATAGTCCTATCAAATGTGCAATCAAGAGGATCAGAGTATGGTATTCTTTGCATATTGTCATAATCAGAGAGATGAGTTGGCAGATGAGACAGATGCTTGGAATAGAAGGATTGCAAATGAATGAAGACAGGTCTAAAGTTAGGTTGGTAAGTTGGGGCTTCTCCATCATATAGCCTTCCTAACCCTCCACCTTGCTTTTACTAAAAAAACACCTTATTACATATCTAGGGCATAGCATGTAAAATGAAGGAAAAAGAAATGATTTCTTAAATTTTTCTATTTTATACATAAAAAAAATAGCTATGGAGAAATGAATATTTCCTAAAATTTGACGAGATAAACATTAAGAGGGTTCAGCTTACTCTCTCACTGATAATCATAATACATGTTGCTACCCATCAAGCTCATCAGTCTTCTAATTGACTTACAGGTCAGAGACGAACAATGTTAGCGAATATAAGTGAATTTGGAACAACACTGGAGGCTGATGAAGTGCTCCAGTTTCTATTAAATATCCAAGGTTAAGCATTTATACAATGTTGCCAATAGTATCGATACCTTTTCGTTTTTGAACCCATTGATTTATTAAATGCTAGGAGTTAGGACATGTGGCCATTTTGAAGGTTAATATCCATCTTAGAGATATTTATCCGGGCTCAATTATTGAACCAACCTGCTGATTGGATTGGTATTAAAAGTGTAAATGAGATTGTGGAACTTTCATTTGACTAAAATCTCCCAATTTTTGAAATCTATTTCTCTCTAATTATAATGACAGAAATGTAATTTTAACAACCACTTTTCTCCTCATTCACATCATTCTCATTAAGTCTTAATATTTAAGACATTAACTCCCATTAGCATTTATTGAATCTTATTATTGACTAAAATATCCTTCATATTTAAGACATTAACTACTACATTTCTCTTCATTCAATTTCCTCTTATTGAGTCTTATATTTAAGGTATTAACTCTCATCCTTTCATTAAATATATTAATTAACCACATTAAAGAAAAATAAGTGTGATAAAAAACAAATGATTTTATTAATGATATAAATAAAATACAAATTTAAAACCAACCCAAAAATGGAGCTGTTTTCCCTTTGTTGGTTAGGCAACAAAATGTTTCAATCCTTGATGTAATAATAATAATAATAATAATAATAATAATAATAATAATAATAATAATAATAATAATAATAATAATAATAATAATAATAATAATAATAANAATAAAAGATAAAAGATAAAAATGCACAAAAATAAAAATGCAAAAAAAAAGTTGTAAATAACATTTGGGCACTTTTCTAATATCATATATTCATCATATTAAACAAAAATTAGTGTGACAAATAAGAATACTTATTATAGACAGAGAAATATAAAAAAATATATATATATATAGCAAATTTTAGAAACACATTATTTACTATCACCATTAGGGGTACAACTTGGGCGGGTCCAACCCAAGCCCAACCCGACCCAACTTGAGCTTTTTTCTATGGGTTAGGCCTGCATTTTGGGCTGTGTGTTGGGCCTAGGCCAAAAAACTCAGGCCCGACCCAACCCAAGCCCAGGTAAAAAAATAGATAATATGTGTATTGTATTTATATAAAATATTTTTCTAATTATGTGTACATGTGTATATGCATAAAGTATGTAAATGTACATTTGTAAATGAAATTTTTACATATTTTCAAATGATTCCACTCTTAAATTGGGTCATAAAGCCCATTAAAAGATGAATATGTAAAAATATATACATAAATTCTTCGGAAAAGTACAGACATGCCCAATGCAGGTTTCTAATTTCCACTACAGAGCTATAAACATTCAAAAGGTTAAAAACCCACACTCTATACACCCATACCCACCCGTGAATTGGCATCAATTCCGAGCTGGCACCTACCCCAAATGTACTTTGAGCCTACAAACTCTGACCCTGGGCCGAATCGTCATTCTCCCTAAATTCTTTGAAACCTGCCCAAGCTCGAYTAACTCGACCCACCCTAACTAGAGCCCAAGCCCAAGCCCAATCGGAGATGTGTTGGATTAAGCTCAAATTGGGCATGTGTTCATAAAATTGGACTTGACCTTGGATTGGGCCAGGCCCAAGCCTGAGCCCAAGGTTTGCACCTATAGGGTTGGGCCTGGGTTGACCTTCAACCCAACCCAACTTACCCAAGTTGCATCCTTAATCATCATTTGCCATGCACAAAGCACATACACACTTACTAGTTGCTTAATATTTCCTCCTAGGAATTAGATTACATTTTGTTATCTGATATAGAATGTAGTGCTATGTACTTTTTTTTATCAGCAACTCAGAAAGTAATTTCATTAAAAATATAAGAAAGCAAAACAACAAGAAGTTGTGAAAGAAACTGATGAGGGCAGATTTGGCCCTCCAGTGAAGTTGCGACACATGGCACCTCGTGACAACTAGGCAAGCCCCCAGGCAACAACTTACCCCCCCGGGCACCGGTCT